ATTCGTACTGCAGAGTCGGATTGGTACGGTCCCCCGAAGTCGACGCCCAAACGCCCACCTGAACGTGCCGACGAACGGTCCTGTAAACCTTGGAGTAGCACAGCACTATCATCGTCAGAGCGGAGATGTAACACAGACTCTGAAAACTATAAAGCACGATCATGTTAACGTCTGAGTTTTTGAAAAAACTTACAACAAAAGGGATGTTGATGGCCGCACAGTACGTAACAGAGCAGCAGAAGGCGATTTTGGCGCGTTTGGTGCTTAAAAGTCGTCCAGTGTTCGAGCGACAGACACAGTCGTAACGATCAAAGGCGATGACTCCCGTCAAAGTGACCGAAGACGCTACAGCTGTCTGCAGAAAGAAATGCAGGAAGATTAAAACTGCCCCAGGCGTCTTCTCGACAAGAACGATAACATACACTGCGATTCTCAACGATAGGAAAACACAACTGAACAGGTCGGCCCAGGCCAGACCCAGGATTAAAATGTGGGTGCTGGTCTTGCGACGTTTGACCCAGTACACGAGGAGAATGAGACAGTTGCCCGGAATACCGATGACCATGCAGAGTACGCACAGCACAAGGCTGACAATGTAGAAGGCGGAGTCCTCCATGTCGACAGAATTACTCCACCAAAATCTCGTCTGCTCGCGTCACTTCGTTACCTGAGAATGACGGTCCCTCGTGCACGTTTCACATTGAATGCACAGTCGTGGTGTTCATGGCAACCCATTAGGACGTGATGGGTCTATATAAGCCGTTGTCAACCGCATCACTTTTACCTGCCCGTTTCGTGTCATTACAGTTTGAGCGCTCCGATCGTACATCTCTGACTATTATGATTAGTTGTGGATCACTAAAATGAGTTCTATACACGCAACGATCTCTGTTCGACATGACGCTAATTTGTGTTCAGTGCAAGTTACCGAAGCGATGTCAGAATTTGAACAGACTGGATGGATCAAAGTTGAGCTGCGCGTCCGGATACCTAGACTTGACTCAAGTCGGAATTGCTTTAAGACGGTATCTTGAAAAAGTAGCAAAAATCACTTAGTTTACGTCTTTCCAGATGCCCAACAAGGTACACTTTTGCGCGCGTTTCACTTCAGTGCCGTATAACAATGCGCACACACTGTTTGTACATTGTACAAAACGCGTATTATACGTACACATGTGTGTGCATGTTTTGCAGAGCATGTGCATACATGTGGTGCAAAAGTTAGCAATTCCGACTTGATCAATCTGCCATCAGCACCCCCCCCCCTCGCGTGCACGCGTCTGTATTCATCGATGCATATGCAACACCATCTCTATGCATATGCAGCAACATCGCTTGACCAATTAAAGTAAATTTTTTTTGAAGACTCGTTTATTATTTTCAGTAGGTATGGAAGGCTGGATAACAATCTGGAAAAGTTTTAAAAACGTAATCTTAATTTATAGATTTCAAACACATTATATCTGGATGATACTCCTAACCATGGGATGCGTGTACGTTCTCCGCGAAACTTTGGATGCGCGAATAGGCGCAGACAACGTTGATTGCGTGTTAGGAATATTATCAAAACAATCTGCGCGCGTTTTTAAGAATAAAAACGCTCATTACCTGAAATACTGTGATATGATTGGCTTCTACCGAAATCGGTAGAAGCCAATCACATCGAGAATTAATTTCCATAGACTGTGTACAAACGTGGAACAAGCCAGCGCGTACGCTTGGCAGATTGACCAAGCCTGGGGTGCGTTTTGGCGGTCATAACCAAGAATTGGTTCTGTTGTTTCTCTTTGGCTAATGGTTTTGGGGGTTTGAGTATTGCATTACCGCGAGTAATTCTCGTCCATTTAAAATTCCCGCAGAAATTCACTGACAAGAAACAACCGAACCAATTCTTGGTTATGACCGCCAAAATGCACCCCAGCTGGGTTGCTGCATCACTTGAAAATAACATGTACATGTACGTTTTAACATGATGGTCCAGATTCGACCCATGAGGGCGCGCGTTATGTACTGTAAGGACTTATGCGATATGCGCTATGAGTGGATTTAGGCACAGACCGAGCGCAACCCAGACTTGGCCAAGTCTACCGGATACCGGATATGGGACTGTGGATCAAATCGCCAAAGCTCATAGTGCTGCCCCATAAAATAACAACATGAATGTTTAATGACATTACGCGATAGGGACAACAACGTGATGAAAGGCGTCTTTTTACAGGGTTCCAAAAGGAATTGTACATTCTCTGGATAGTCACGGCTTGATTGATGCCACATAACAAAAAAACCTTCAGCCATATGGTTGCGAAGGCGAAAGCGTGCAGATTGTCAGGCAAAGCTAATCCGACTACGTACTTAGACGCTGTAACAGAGCAGTGAAATTCGTGAAGCCCCCAAAACATGGTCGTTTGAACGTTGTGTTTCTCAGAAAATATGCTCAGTATGATTGAAATGTTAAATTATAACGAAAGAAATAATTCTAAAGTTCATGTCAGTAAAAAAACTCGCCATCATCGATGCCGAAACGTCAATACTGGTTACTGGTAAAGCTGACGTTCAAATCTGGAAGATGTCGTTCGAAAACCTCCCCAAATCTATGTATTTATATCAAAATTTAAGAATCTACTCAAGTTGTTATTTCACGAGTAGTTGAACACTTATATCATCTAAGCACATTACGAATTTCAGCTTAATCTGTTGTTGCTAACGCTTGCGTTATACCTTGAACCATCTCTAAGGAAAATTCCGACGAAGATTTTTTGCCGACCCACCCACATGCATTGTTCAGCAAAGCGCCGTATGCGCTACGGTTGACCGATTTCGGCCCGGCAGCACAAGACGACGGGCATTTTAGCATATTCATTAGCGTCACCTGGCGTGACTGGGCGTGGGTCTCGGTTTTGACCAATGGAAGCCGGCAAAAAGGGTTATATTTATCAACTTATAACTCGTGAAGGAGGTTTTACGCATATTTTTACTGCACACCATAATGGATATGAACCTAATTAAAATTTGTGAGGCTTGAAAAGATTGACAGACATTGCTAACGCCAGTGTTACAACTTTCAAATATGCACGTAGCGAGGCCTATTTTTCCAATGTCAACGAAAAGTAAAGACCATATCACAACGATTTTTAGCACATACTGGGATCCTTATAACGGAAGTAAACCCTGAAAGTTGCATGAAGATACGGTCTTCCAAACGGGAAAAATTGATTTTCAAAGATTTCGCCCGTCTGGGTGAACATGTGTGTGTGTACATGCAGTTTTATTCAAAATTAGGTGTTACGTAACCTTTAGAAATCGCCATTCGCAACCATATGGGTGCCTTGTCAGTACTTGAAGTGATGCGAGAAATCGTGTAGTTTTAGCCAGCCATTAACATAATAAGCAGGTTGTCCAAATTCAGTTACACGTGTCCTACCATGTTACACATTAACAGGGCTGAGTTAAAGCTCGTGGAAAGATGTTTCAAAGTCACGTCGGGGAAGACTTAAAATCAATCAAAATTACCATTTTTTTATAGCATTAATTTTAATTGCAATGGACACTTTTACCCATACATGAAAAAGCCGTCGCTAGTCTGAGAATAATCACATGATTGTCGCCTTGAAAATGACGTTGCTTTAGCAACCAAATGCAAAACCCAATCCAGTCTCGAAGACAAACATGCTGGATGCTGCAAACCAATTAATGATTGCAAACTCGGCCGGTTACTAAAAGCTTTCTGCATCGCAATAGATCATCGCATTTCAATGTCCCAATTAGCAGAAAAGCGTCCTTGAAAAGAACCACAAAAAATGTTGGTCTATTTTTGTTTTACCTCATTTTCATTCAATCGAAATGTGAAAAGTTCAATGTGAACCTTACAACGTTTCCAAAGAAAATAGTTAAAATCAGAATTTAGTTGTATATAATGTAAGGTATTATTAGAACGGCCATGCTCAAAGACCCAAGGTAACTTTCTGTACAGATAAATAAATTCAAAACTACTTTAAATTTCTGCTATCATATGATGAATTTCTGGATTTAGCCCTCCTTGTACGATCTGAAGAAACCAGAAATTCTCTATACATTGAGACCTATACTTTATTGAAATGCTTTAATGATACCATGAATTTTAAAAACGTTTTGGATCAAGAAAAAAAAAACGCCTCATGTATTAAAATATGGAGAATGATATAATAATGATGATTTCTACTAGGCTTACATGTATAAACAGAGTGTGCCCAATCATCAATTAAGTGAAAGGGTTTACATTTTTACTTGGGTCACTCTCACGTGTCATGTCACCAACTATGCATATTCAACGCCCATGCAATGTTTTACTCAGAATCAGCATGTCAAGGTGAGAGTGGCCCAAGTAAGATTTACACCCTTTCACTTAATGGATTGTATTTCTGGATCTAGGGATCCAAATGGAATAGGATAAAAAGCAGTGGATCGAGAAATAGTCAGGCATTAATGTAACATATAATTTCATTGAAGAAAAAAAAATTCAACAGTTTTACCTACTTGTTTTCTGAATGTTGTACTTTTTCAGCACAATCCGTGCATTGCATTTTAACGGAGTACCCTGAAGCAACACATTTCGCAGCCAGCATAAACTGAACAGGAACAAGGCCTGTTTTACATTGGCTCGTTTAACTTGAATTAATTCTATTCACGCGACGACTATAGCTTTAATAAACCATTAAAGTGCCGTAGTCTCGTGGTCTGGAACACTGAACTCATGGTCTGTAGGTAATTCTGCAGGTTGTGGGTTCGATTTCAGCCTGGGGTTGTGGTGCGTGTGCCCTTGGGCAAGGCACTTTGTCACTCATTACTTGTCCCCATCCAGGAGTAAATGGGTACCTGTGAAGGCAGAGATGGTGGTTGTGATTGATTTTAGGTGCCTTGCGCCTAAATGGCTGCGTCGAGCCGCATACTCCCAGGAGCTGAGGTTGTGCTTAGAAGGTTTCATTGGCCCAATGATCGGGGTAAACAATAACGGAAAGCTCTTTGATCTTACTTAAAAGTGCTCTACCAGTATTCGTTATTGTTGACGGGCGTGGCTCCAATGCAGGCTCCCTATTTTCATCAAATATTAAGGTTAATTTGCCTTTTCCTAACATGCACTGATTAAAACATCTTCTTTAAAACTTGTTTACAGTCTTGCCTAAAACGTCGATTTGCAAGTCCGTAAAGTAACGGATTGATGGCGTTGTTTATGTAGATACTCGGCTTGATGCGCGCGAGCACAAGCAAGACACCCTTGTGCACTTTCAACGTGCTAAAAGTATCCAAAAGACTAAGAACGACCCATAGCCAGTACGGCAGCCATGCGATCAAGAATGCGACACTGGTCAGGAGAAGCATTCTCGTCGTCTTGCGTTGCAGGGACGAAGTGCCACCTGGTCTCTGGTCCAGCCGGCTGTTCCTCCTGGAGTTACCAGTGACTGCCTGGTTTGTCAGATGGGAGCTCTGCGCAGTCCCTCGGCCGTCCGTGGAGCGTTCTTTCCTGTGCGTCTCTACCGCGAGCTCCGGGTCGGATTTACTCGGAGATTTCCAAGCCATAGGTTCCGACGAACTGGAAACCCCGGGGTTATTGGCGACAGAGTGGGACACGGATATCATCTCAAGGCCCTGGCGATGTGGGCTGGCAGGTCTTGGCGAACTCGCCGATTCGTACTGCAGAGTCGGATTGGTACGGTCCCCCGAAGTCGACGCCCAAACGCCCACCTGAACGTGCCGACGAATGGTCTTGTAAACCTTGGAGTAGCACAGCACTATCATCGTCAGAGCGGAGATGTAACACAGACTCTGAAAACTATAAAGCGCCACTGTGCTAGCGTCTGAGTTTCTGTAAATGCTTACAATAAAAGGGATGTTGATGGCCGCACAGTACGTAACCGAGCAGCAGAAGGCGATTTTGGCACGTTTTGTGCTGAAAAGTCGTCTGTACGAACGACAGACACAGTCGTAACGATCAAAGGCGATGACTCCCGTCAGAGTGACCGAAGACGCTACAGCTGTTTGCAAAAAGAAATGAAGGAAGGTTAAAACTTCTCCAGGCTTCTTCCCGACAATAAAAGTAACATACGATGCGATTCTCAACGACAGGAAAACACAACTGAACAGGTCGGCCCAGGCCAGGCCCAGGATCAAAATGTGGGTGCTGCTCTTGCGACGTTTGTCCCAGTACACGCGGAGAATCAGACAGTTGCCCGGAATGCCGAAGACCATGCAGAGTGCGCACAGCACCAGGCTGAAAATGTAGAAGGCGGAGTCCTCCATGTCGACAACAAATCCACCAAAACTTCGTCTGCTCGCGCCACTGCGTTGCATGAGAGTGGCGGTCCTTGGTACACGTTTCACGGTGAATGCACAGTCCTAGTGTTCAGTGCATCCCATTAGGACGGTAATGGGTCTAAGCCGTTGTCAACCTCATCACTTTTACATGCCCGTTTCGTGTCATTACATTTTGAGTGTTCCGATCGTTCATCTCTGACCATTATGGTTATTAGAGATCACTAAAATGCACGCAACGATCTCTCTTCCACATGATGCTAATTTGTGTTGACTGCAAGTTACCAAAGAGACCTCAGAATTTGAATAGGCTGGATGGATCAGAGTTGAGCTGCGCGTCCGGATACCGGATATTGGACTGTGCATCAAAGCGCCAAAGCTCATAGTGCTGCCCCATAAAATACAACAGGTGTGTTTATTAACATCACGCTATAGGGACATCAACATGGTGAAAGGCATGTTTTTACAGGGTTCTAAAAGAACTGTACGTGCTCTGGATATCGACGACTTGATAGATGTAACGCAAAAGAGAGAAACAAATCTTGTCAGAGCTTTGAAAGGGTGCAGGACATCGAATACTTATTAACATAACAAGCAGGTTGTCCAACTTCAGTTACACTTACACTCAGTGTCTTACTTGTTACACATTAACAGAGCTGAGTTGTCGCTCTAGGAAAGATGACTGCACTGTTTCGAAGTCACGTCTAGAAGACTTAAAAGCAAACAAAAAATACATTTTTTTGATAGGATTAATAATGCTGTTGTAAATAAACCCCCTAATCCCAGACAATAAGTTCGTGTTTTTTTCTGCATATTATACATATTAACATTGCCGCCTCTACGCCAGTAGCGGATCTAGGGGGAGGGGGATTGCAACACCCCCCCCCCCCGTTCAGCGGATGACTGAAGTTATGAAACTAGTGAAATGGGGCAAAAAAATATTAAATGAAATGCTAAAGTTCCAACGTTTATTATTGAATTGCCATGGAATGCAAGAGAAATCACTGTAGATTTCAATTTTTTTTACGGGGGCATGCCCCGGACCCCTAGTAGGGCGTCCGCACGCCCCATACCCAACCCCCTTAATAACCCCCCCCCCCCCGTTTACAGAAAGCTAGATTCACTTCTGCATGCAGCTCACTTCGTATTCCTCCCCAAGCACGACATGCACACCTAATCATGCTCTCACACGCTTTCAACATCAGTGCATTAATGATATGACTCAAGCACAACGTCTACACCAACCAAACGAAGTCTGCACGCGCCTGTGGGATGTGCCTTCATATTAATTTCCAATTTTCTACTGGTCGGCCTCGAGAGAATGATTGTGAACACGAAACAGGTTTTCGAACTCCACTTTTATGTCGAGGACCATCTTGTGGTGCATCGATCAATGATGATTGATAGTGTCAGTTGAAAAATTGAAAATTATAGGGACAGACAGTGGGGTGCCTGGCCATGCTTTCAGTCAGTGCTTCTTTTTGTAGCGGTGTCGGGGTACGAAGGAATCGATCCTTTACGGCGTAAGATCGCATACATTGTAATGTTCTAATCTTACCCGTCCAACATGATTACAAAATGGACAAGTGAGGACTGTTTTTTAGGAGGAAAGCATTTATTCACGAGTCGGCCATATTTGATTAAAAGCGACGTAAGCTCTCCTTTTTGGAATTTGCGAGTAGAAATGAACGCATATAAATACAAGTTCATAACAAATTCATTCCAGTCGGCACTGATGAATAATTTGAAATTTGTTATTAAATAAACCCTTATATTTTGAGCCACATTAAAAAACAAACAAAATGAGCATTGGCACGCACTCCAATTATAAAGTAGTCTGGCACCATCCCATTCAACAGTTTACATTTTATAAAATGGATTCAGGGAACACGATAGAAAAGTCTTCTACGTGAATTATATCTATTGGATAATTCACACTGAACGTTAAAACACGTAACATGCACACACGTTTGGAATAAAAGCACCAAATGCACAATGTAAGTCCATTGCTTGCCATTGCGGGATCGAATCAAAATACAGCAAGCAAGCTTCAACTTTTGTCTCCGGAAAATCCTTCGAACGAAATCGATCAGTGTCAGTGTCTTTGATAAAATATGGGCTGTTATCCTGAATCCCCACTTTTCCAACTATAATTGGGTAATAGATATACATGTACAACCAGAGGCCTCTCTATGCATGTTGCCCACGCTTAAAAGGACTACGGTGGCCCGATTAGGACACTTTGATGTCAACCTTTCCAATGTCAACATTCAACCTTTCCAATGCCTCTACCTAAATTCCACATTAAACACAAATATAACTGACATTAAATAAATATGTTCTTTTCCCACTCAACTAACGTCTTGTGGTATATTAGCCTAGCTGCTGGGAATAGTGAGGACTCCGTATACTTTATTTAAAAGTTCCAAGGAGCATTGTTCACTTCACGAAGGAACATGGTTGAACGGCGATATCAAGTATGGTACGGGGTTTTAACTATGGAAATAAGAAGATACAATTCTGAATCGTGAAAATACACGACAGAACGTTGACATTAAGCACGATCCATGGTCAACATTGACAAGATTGACATGGTGACAAAGTCATATCAGCAAGGACAAACGTCAACACTGCGAAATTAAGCAACGCGTGTAACGTGCATACTGCGAGGGTGAAACATTGATATTCGAACATTAATATTGGAAAGGTTAACATTAACATGTCCTCTCCCGCGAATTAGTTCACTGATCAGTGCATTACCCCGTCTTCCCTCGAAGCCTAATTGCTGTCTGAAGTAATATATTTGTGAACGCATCACCTCATCCCCATAGTATCTTACCGTCTCATGCTATTAGTTGCAATCCTCCCGACCCAGCACGAACGCCTCTTGTGTCACAGTGTAAAATGTGGGCAATTCATGATCCCACATTAGCTTAGAGTGCTTTTCCACGAATGATGAACCATTTGCCATATCTTTTTTTTGGGCCCATTTTGAGAAGGACAATATATTATGAAGATTTGTGGGGGAAAATATTCAGATATTTTCATTTTAGGTTTTCAAGGATGAATATGTCTTTCAGTTTGATGCACCCTTTGCCATGGTGTATCGATTAGAAAGCTTGTCATTTCATCCTGAAAACAATGCATGTAGTAAAAAAATTAGTATACATTCTTTGTCCAACGGGTTCTTGTTTACATCTTAATATGTCTGTTGCAATTCTGAAAAAGCTAACAATTTTTTAAAGGTTAGATTTGACGTCAACACACCTTTGGTCTATTGACAATGGAGGCTTCGCACAACTTTGCCGTCGTTACTACCTGACACAATCATTCTTGTTTCACAAGGAAAAAGAAAAAGAAAGGCATAACAAGCTTCCAACTTGGTCCCCAATTTCATTACAATGCGTCTCCAATTTAATTATTAAACAAAGATACGAAGAAGAAAAAAAACCATCAGGTCAGCAGAGGCATTATATACCGCGATTCAATTGTGAAAAAAACCCAGTTACTGGACACACCTCATGGAGACCTGCGCTGCTCACGAAAAAAAGTTTTATTTCTATAAGCACTTAAATTTTCTTCGTCGGTCGGCACGTTTCTAGAAAACACGCAATGCTAAAGCCAGGTATTTACAAAGATGTTGATAAAATGCTCCCAGTTCTCAGGAGATGCATGTTCTCACAAAATAGAGGAAAAGTTACGAAGCCGCTATACACGCATCGCTTTAATTAAGCGACTTTCAAACGCACGTGACTGTAATTGGCCAACCTCCCTTTATGCACAAATTGGGGACACGTACAATTGGTAATGCTTCCATATAATAGGTAATGCTGAGGAGATAGTTGCCAGAGACCTATACAAAGCATCGCTGAAAATAATCGAATTTTACACGCGCATGACTGTGATTGGCAAACCTCCCCATACGCACCAAGGCAAATTAGATTGATCACACGTACAGTAGGTAAAGCTTCCATATAATAGGTAATGCTGCGGAGATAGTTGCCAGTGCTTTCTTCTGGCGCACCAGTATAGACAGACATATTACAGTCGTAACATCCGCTGTTCTTCTTCCGCAACATTTTAATTCAAGTTTGTTAAGAGAAATTCCAGCCATGGAGAATTTTTCAGTGCAGAATTCCACCTCTATTTTTGAGGACGCAGAGTCGGATTCAGGCCTGTCTGACACGGTGGGAAACATATTCCAGCTGATTGTGCAGAGCGTCATTTTCTTATTCGGCGTGCCCGGTAACTGCCTCATACTCCGTGTCTACTGGACAAAGACTCTAAAAACCAGCACCCATGTTCTGATCATGGCCTTAGCCTGGGCCGATCTGGCCGTCTGTGTGTTGGCTGTGCATCGTATTTATGAAAAGGTTGCTTCCATGGCTGACTTTGAAGTCCCAGAGTTCACATTTATTATTTGGGCTCTTGAGACAACAGCCATCGCTACGTCGGTTATGATGACTGCTGTGATCGCAGCGGACCGCTACGACTGCGTATGCCGGCCACACCGCCGGTTCTTCACCCACAAACGCGGCAAGATAGCAGCTTGGGCAGCATTCGTATTCTCACTGATCATCAATATTCCTGCCTTCATTCCGAGAACCCCTGGATCCAGCGACCAGTCGTTGCGCCTGTTGAGGTATGCATTCCGGGTCATTTGCTTCGTCGTGGCGCTCGTGATGATCGGCCTGTGTTACGGCAAAGTCTACATGACCATCAAGAAACACACCAAAGTCGGCGTCAAAGGTACCACTCGAGATCGCGGCGTCTCTCGATTAGCCGACGAATGGTCGACAAGGCTACATGATTCCGTAATCACAAATGTGGGACCGAACATTTCTACCGTCGCTTCCGGGTCGACGTTCATCAGTAAACCATGCTCGAGCGCGGTAGCTGATGCCAGTAGAATGGCACAAAGCACGGGAGCACAGAGCCACAAAATCGACGAATCAAATCTTGAAGAAAGTGGGGAAAGATGGGCCAATCACCCACAAGCGACTTTGACTAAACATGTAGTTGTCTCGAGGGATACAGAAAATAGTGTTGAGAATGGGAATGCTCATTCTCGCCAACACCAAGGTAATGCAGGACGCGCACCACCAAAGGCAGATGCAGCAGTTTTACAGCGTAAGACAACCAGAATGCTCTTCATCACCAGCGTTGTGTTTCTCCTGACCTGGCTACCCTACTGGATTCTTCTTGCCGCTTCTCTTGCTTCATACTACGACCCAGTGTTCCGCATGATCATCTGGCAGCTCTCCGTAACTCTTTACGTCAACAACGCCGTGAATCCGCTGATTTACGGACTTGCCAACAGACGGTTCAGAAAAGACTGCAAGACAATTCTCAGTAAGATTAAGTTCTGTTAGAATGACACTAGTCAACGCGTTTTGTTGTCTTCATGCAGTTGATGTCTAATTGTATCTGTACCCAGAAGACACCGTTGTGTCGAATAGAAATTCAAAAATCAATAACAAACCCGCCACCCCGGGTATTGCGCCCGGGAGTCTACCAAATGGCGTGCGGTTCTTACTTGTTCAGGTATGATTTCTAACTATCCACAAACATATCGGTCCGTTATGTTCGAGACGTCAAAAGAGATTCAGGCCCTCGTTGGTTGACATATAGCTCACGTGTCGGTTAACCTTTCTCGTGGAGGCTTTTACTGTTCAGGTCTCGTGTGCATTGCACTTCTCCAATAGTATAATGGCTGCCTGAAGTGGTCTCACTTTGAACGCATCACCTTATCTTAGAGTGTTTACTGGCTCTTTTTAGCAGTTGAAATTTCCCAGACCCGGCACAAACTCAACTTGCTTCGAAATGAAACATTCGCGCAGTTCTCCCTGCTTAACTTGGAGGGTTGTCTGTACATAAATAGGGAACAATTTGCGGCATTCGCGCGCCTTTTCCTGCTTTTTTTTGTATCCGATTCACTGTTTCTGATAGTAATTTCTAAAAATAATAATATGATTTTGAAGATTTACGGAAAGATAAAGATCCAGATTAAATTTAAGTTGTAGGATTTTAGGGGTATAATAATTTGTGTTTGGTGATGAAAATTCAATAGAACTTTCATTTCGATGCACTCTTTTCTAAACTGTATCGATTAGAAGTTGTCTTTTTATGCTTGAAACAATAATATGGCACAGCAGCGTATATTTCTTGTTCGTGTTATTTATTTGCACCCTTATGTCAGTTGCCACTCTGCAATAGTCTTTTTTAAAATATTATTTTCTAAAGATAACTTTGACGTCAACACACCTCCGTTCTATTGACAATGGAAACGTCGCGCAACTTAGCCGGTGTACACCCCTTGTGCAATCCGTCATGTTCAGTCTCATAACAACAAGGGGAAAAGAAAAAAAAGGAAAACTTCACAAGCTTCAAGCTTGGTTCTGTTTTTTTTTGTTTTTAAAGATTGTACTCAGCGTCTCCGATTTAATAAGCAGAGAGGAAATCAGGTGAGCGATATATATACTATATACTGCGATTCAATTGTGCTCCAACATATGTTCCTGTGCACACCGGGATTAAATTAACTCACAGAAACTTGCCCTGCTTTTGGTTTGGTACATAGCTCGTTAATTTCCTTTAGTCAGACCAGCTCACGAATAAAGGTTAATTTATATAAGCACATGAATTGTAGAACGCCATGGTCCAGTGGTTACGGTGTTTGACTTATGTACGATGGTGCGTGGGTTCGAACCCGGCCAGGAACAGGGTGTTGTTCCCCTTGGGCAAGACACTTAGATGGGTACATGTGAGGGTCGAGGACCGATTGAGCGCTGATATCAGCTGCCGCGTGGTCCCATGGCCTGATGAACGGGGTAATATTGTAAAGCGCTTTGAGATCGTTGATACGATGGAAAGCGCTATATAAGCACAATTATTATTATGAATTGTCTTCGTCTATCGGCAAACAAAGACAAGGAAGTTCCGAGAATGCACCCAGTGCTCGGGAGATGCATGTTCAGAAGAAAAAGGGTTAACGGCCACGAAACCACTTGATACAATGAATCACTGATGATCAACGAATTTGGCACGCGCATGACCGGGACTGGCCATCCAACATATAATTATAGGTAATGCTAACGAGAGAGTTGCCAGAATGTCTTCTTGTGGTGCACCAGTACAGGTAAACATTGTTACAGTCGTAAAATTCTGAATCTTCTTATGACAACGTAACGTGGAGAAGTTTAACACAAGTTTTACGAGAGAAATTCCAGCCATGGAGATCACGTCGGGGCCGAATTCCACATTTCTTTTTGAAAACACAAGAGTCTGATTCAGGCCTGTCTGACACGGTTGGAAACCTACTCCGGTTGACTTGAGTCTTCCAAATCGGTATTGGTTCTCACTTGTTCAGGTATGCTTTCTTAATACCTATAAACCTGTCATGTTCGTGACGTTTAAAAAAAGACAACGTTCCCTTTTGGTTGTCATAGTTCATGTGTCGGTTTGCCTTTCTCGTGAAGGCTTTTACTGATCAGGTCTCGTGTGCATTGCTCTTCTCCCATAGCCTTATGGTTGTCTGAGGTTGTATCAGTTTGAACGTATAACCTTATCATAGAGTGTTTTTCATGCTGTCTCATCTTAGCAGTTGCAACGTCCTTGTCTCGGCACAGACTCAACTTGCTTCGAAATGAAAGATTCGCCAAGTTCTTGCTGCTTAACTTGGAGGGTTTCTCCTAAAATTATATACATTTTGCGGCATTTGCCTTTTTTTCTGCAGACTTTTTTTTTCTTCTAAATCCGAACCACTTTTTATGATATTCCATTTCTAAGTAGGAATGCAATTGTGAAGATATATGGAAATATTTATTAAAAGTATCTCGAATTATTTGAGATTGTTAAAAAAATTAAATATATCTTTCATTTTGATGCACTCCTCTTCAAACTGTATGTATTAGAAAGTGTCATGTCAACCTTAACACAATAATAGGGCAGACCAGCGTAGAGATTTCTCGTTCGTGTTATTTATTTGGACCTTATGTCAGTTTCTACTCTTCAATAGTTTATTGATATAATATTTTTTAAAGGTAAATTGACGACAACAGACCTTTCACAAAAACCCTTTCACAATCGGTCTCGTTCAGCCTTATAGCAAAAAGGGGAAAAGAAAAAATACAAAGGAAAAGAAAAAAACTTCGAAGCTTCAAATTCTGTTCCGACTATTCTGATTATTCTTCCCGGCGTCTCCAATTTAATAAGCAGAATACGCAATAAAAACCAAATAAAAAACAGGTGATCGATGACACAACATATCGCGATTGTTCCCCTAAAACAGTTCCTATACACACCAAAATTAAATTACCTCAAAGAAACCTGCCCTGATTTTGGTTTGGTACAAAGCTCAATAATTTCCTACGGACAGACTAGCTCGTGGAAAAAGAGTTAATTTCCATCAGCATATGAACTGTCTTCGTCTATCATTGTTTCTAGATAAACAGGCGATGCTTAAAAAGCCAAGTATTTACGAGGATGTTAAGGGAACGCTCCCAGAGAAATACCGATAACAACACACACACAAAAGGAGAGAAACAGTTACGAAATTGCTACTACAATGCATCACTGAAAATAATCAAATTTAGCTGCGAAATCGAATTTCTGACGCGCATGACCATGACTGTCACACCTCCCAATACATGTACCCAGCAAGAAAATTGGGTCGATCACACTTCACCGATGTGTGCAGCGTTACGTATAACGGGTAATGCTCCGAAGACAGTTGCCAGAGCGTCTCGTCTAGCGCACCAGTATAGACGGACATTATTACAGTCGAAACATCCACTATCTTCTTAGACCACTTAACAAGCACACGTTTGTGGAGATAAATTTCAGCCATGGAGACTGACACTCCGGTGCAGAATTTCACATCTATTTTTGAAAACACAGACTCGGATTCAGGCCTGTCTGACACGGTTGCAAACATAGCCCAGCTGATTGTGCAGAGCGTCATTTTCTTATTCGGCGTGCCCGGTAACTGTCTCATACTCCGTGTCTACTGGACAAAGACTCTAAAAACCAGCACCCATGTTTTCATCATGGCCTTAGCCTGGGCCGATCTGGCAGTCTGCGTGTTGACTGTGCAAAATATTTATTATACGATGGCTTATATGGCTGGCTATGAGGTCCCGGAGTTCACATTTATTATCTCGGCTCTTCAGTCAATAGCCATCAGCACGTCGATTATGATGACTGCTGTGATCGCAGCGGACCGCTACGACTGCATATGTCGGCCTCAGCGCCGGTTCTTTACCCACAAACGCGGCAAGATAGCAGCTGGGGCAGCATTCGTATTCTCACTGGTCATCAATATACCTGCCTTTATCCCCCAAACCCCTGGATCCATCAACCAGTCGTTTCTCCTTCTGCGGTATGCATTCCAGGTCATTTGCTTCGTCGTGGCGCTCGTGATGATCGCCCTGTGTTACGGCAAAGTCTACACGACCATCAAGAAACACACCAAAGTCGGCGTCAAAAATACCACTCGAGATTGCAGCGTCTCTCGATTAGCCGACGAATGCTCGACAAGGCTGCAGGATTCCGTGTTCTCAAATATTGAACCGAGAATTCCTGCCGTTGCTTCCGTGTCGACGTTCATCAGTAATCCATGTACGAGCATGGCAGCTGATGGCAGTAGAATGGCACAAAGCAAAGTAGAACCAGGCCTTGACGAAAGCGGGAAAAGATGGATCAGTCACCAACAAGCGACTTTGACCAAACATGTACTTGTGTCGAGGGATACAGAATCTCGTGTTGTGAACGGGACCAATGACACTCGACAACACCACGATAACGCTGGACGCGCACCACCAAAGGCAGATGCAGCAGTTTTACAGCGTAAGACAACCAGGATGCTCTTCATCACCAGCGTTGTGTTTCTCCTGACCTGGCTACCCTACTGGATCCGTGTTACCGGTACATTTGCCTCCTACTCCGACCCAGTGTTCCATATGATCCTCGATAACCTCTCCGTAACTCTATTCGTCAACAACGCCGTGAACCCGCTGATCTACGGACTTGCCAACAGGCGATTCAGGAAAGACTGCAAGACAGTTCTCAGTAGGATTAAGCTCCGTTAGGATTAACGCGATTCTTTGTCTTCAAGCACTTGATGTCCTATTTGTAAGTGCATAGACACAATTTTGAGGAAAATATAGAATGAACAGAACTGACAGAACATGAACACAAGAGGTGTTGTATAGACTTTAACTTTATCAGGACCTGGCCAATGAGGGCTTCCTAGGGCCGGGGGTGGGGAAGAGGGGGCAGCACCTTGTTTCCCATCCAGCTTTCCATATACGATAGCCGATTTTCCTAAAATTTGCCAGGAATGTTAATTGGCCGCTAATCCAAAAAATGATAACAAGAGGGCGCTTCCCCATGTTTTAGCTTTTGTTTTTTTCGAAACAGTATATTTTGTGTAAATTGTACATTTCATCGAAACACTTGCAATTTCATAGATAGAAGGCTCTATACGCTTTTGTTTGGCAAAATCACAGTTTACTTATTTTGTCCCAAAGGTTCGACCACATTCGGCACTAATGGCGTACTTAGGATAGTTTTGTGAAGGCTTTGCATTTAAAGGTATACCGAAACAAAGAAATATTGTGTAGAAAGAGTGAATTGCTTTCTTCGCACCAATGCCAGTCATATTGGTTTCCTAGCAAGCATTGTACTTGTTTAGGGGATCACGAAGTTTAGTCTTAAATGATACTTGATATGTATATACTGGCAAAGCAAACATGGTTTGGCTCACAAAAATGTTGATTAAGCGCATTTGAACCTGCGGACACCTCGAGAATTTCTCAAAAGATCCCGGATGTGATTACGTCACACGCTGAACGCGTCAATGGCTGACGGTTATTGATGAAAAGTTCTCACACTACACTTTAGATAGCGCACAGTAACTTGGCCACGCGTCAGTCACCACTGACCGGAGAAAAGGCACCATTTTTTCGCGGATGAAATTTTACATACTTTTTACAAAAATCTGCAACCGTCCTGCTGTCTTCTGTAACTTTTTTTTCTCCCCAATGGTTCATCGTGGCTTGGATAGAACGCCAAGATTGGTGGAATTCGAGGTGAGGTCTTTCCATTAGTAGCCCGTATTTTTGACAAGCTTTGTTCATTGCCACCGTACCTTTTCGTCACGGTTTACGTTTGCTTCGGTCGGCTCTATTCGCTGATAGGCTGACCTTATTTTTACAGGGCACGGCACACCGCACAGGACGCTATTACTCGCTTCAAAATGGAAAAATAGCACTGTTATCCCTGCCTTATCGGGAGAGATTTCTATAATTGGTAAACAGTTTCCGATATTTGCATTTTCTTTCTGCTCACTTTCTGTTTATCCGACTCAATGTTTATGATCGTTCATTTCTTAGTAGGATTATGATAAGTTTTGACGGATAATATGAGTGAATTTCTGTGACATTTTGATGCACTCTTTCCACTGATGCACTGTATCGTTAAGAAAGTGTCGTTTGAAGCTTGGTACTGTAACCGGGCACGGCGAGGTTTAATTCGCTCCTTTCTCAAGTACCCCTTCACCGGCAAAGAGAGTACAGTCGGGGCGGGGGTGACCGACCGACGCCATCTTGCCTAACAGTGATATTGCCGCGACTGCGTGCTGTACATAGTATAAATCCCCGGTGTACGTGCGGCACACAAAAGGAACGGTGCATGTCAACCAGCTAAATGTCCCGCCCATGGGACGTCGTTGCTAGGTTAAAGGGCGCCCACTCGTAGTGCACGGAGCCCATAGGGTAGGTGCCGCGAGTTCTGATAGGGTTCATCACGGTGATTCTTTGTACTTTTCAAGCAAGTTCAATAATATGGAAGAAACGGTAGGATTCTAGAAAACGAAAGAGCTTAATTTTGCATAATTGGAGAACATTGTGGACAATAAAGATGCCTCCTGTACTAAAAAAAGTTGTCCACAAACAATTGTATTTACAAATGAGTTAGGCCCTACTGTCTTGCAAACGATCTGAACTTTTGGCAACGGGAAAATTCTGCAACTGAATATGTATGAGGTATAGTAAAACAAATAGGCCCCTATAACATGGTTTATTTCGGGTGGACAGTCGATATTAGCTCCCCTCGGTATTGGAAGATGATAGTTTGTCAACTTCCAATACTTCTGGGAGTATATATCGACTGTCCAGCCTCAAACCATGTTATATTTGTAAACTGTCTCATCTTAGCAGTTGAAATTTCCTGGACTCCGCACAAAATCAACTTGCTTCACAGTGAAAGATTCGCGCAGTTCTCCCTGCTTAACTTGGAGGGTTTCTCCTAATGGTAAACATTTGCGGCATTTGCCTTTTTTTCTGCTGATTTTTTTTTCATCGGAGTCACTTTTAATGCTATTCCATTTTTAGGTAGGAATGTGATTATGAAGATTTACGGACAGATATATTTAGATTATCAGGGATAATTTGAGTTTGTGATAGAAATTAAATAAATCTTTCATTTTGATGCACTCTTTTCCAAAACGTATGGTGTCATGTCAACCTTAAAATTTTGAACTTATGTCAGTTGCTACTCGGCAATAGTGTATTAATATTAATTCTAAGGTAAATTTGACAACAAACCGTTTAGTCTATTTACAATGGTGACTTCGCGCATCTTCGCCGTCAGAAAAACCCTTACACAAGCGTTCTTGTCCAGCCTCATAACAAAAAGGGGAAAAAAAGACAAAGAAAGAAGACTTCAAAAAAAAAAAAAGCTTCACCAGCTTCAAACCCTCTTCTGATCATTCTTGCAATTCTCCCCAGCGTCTCCAATTTAATAAGCAGAGGTAAGGAAAAAAAAACACATCACATACCGCGATTCAATTGTCCCCCTACCCCCCACAACTCCTTTACACACCAAATTAAATTACATAGAAACCTGCCCTGATTTTGGTTTGGTACAAAGCTCGATATTTTTCTACAGTCAGACTAGCTCATGAAAAAAGAGTTAATTTCTATCAGCACTCGAACAGTGTCTTCGTTTATATCGATAGGTTTCTAGATAAACACGCAATGCTTAAAGCCAGATATTTACAAGGATGTTGAGAGAATGCTCCCAGAGGGACTATGCCTATAGCAAAAAAAGAAGAAGAGAGAAACGGTTACAAAACTGCTACATACAATGCATCACTGATAATAATCGAATTTCGGACGCGCACAACCATGATTGGCCAACCTCCCAGTACATGTAGACAGCAAGAAAATTTGGTCGCTCAGGCCTCTCCGCTGCGCGCCGCGTAACGTATAATAGGTAATGTTGCGGAGATAGTTGCCAGAGTGCTTGCTTCTGGCGCACCAGTATAGATAGACATTATTACAGTCGTAACATCCACTATCTTGTTGGACAACTTAACAAGCAGACTTGTTGACAAGTTTGTCGACAGAAACTTCATCCATGGAGACGCACACTCCAATGCCGAATACCTTCTCTATTTTTGAAAACACAGAGTTGGATTCAGGCCTGTCACACACGGTTGGAAACCTATTCGAGCTGATTGTGCAGAGCGTCATTTTCTTATTCGGCGTGCCTGGTAACTGCCTCATACTCCGTGTCTACTGGGAAAAGACTCTAAAAACCAGTACCCATGTTCTGATCATGGCCTTAGCCTGGGCTGATCTGGAAGTTTGCGTGTTGGCTGTGCATCGTATTTATGAGAAGGTTGCTAACATGGCTGGCAATGGGGTCCCAGAGTTCACATTTATTTTCTGGGCTCTTCAGTCAACAGCCATCAGTACGTCGACTATGATGACTGCTGTGATCGCAGCGGACCGCTACGACTGCATATGCCGGCCAGAGCGCCGGTTCTTCACCCACAAGCGCGGCAAGATAGCAGCTTGGGCAGCATTCGTACTCTCACTGGTCATCAACATTCCTGGCTTCAGAAACCCCGTCGTTGCTCCTGTTGATTTTGGCATTCCAGGTCATTTGCTTCGTCGTGGCGCTCGTGACGATCGCCCTGTGTTACGGCAAAGTCTACACGACTATCAAAAAACACACCAAAGTCGGCTTCAAAAGTACCACTCGAGATTGCAGCGTCTCTCGATTAGCCGACAAATCGTCGATAAGGCTGCCGGATTCCGAATCCCCAAATGTCGAACCGAACATTCCTGCTGTCGCTTCCGTGTCAATGTTAATCAGTAAACCATGCTCGAGCACGGTAGCTGATGCTAGCAGAATGACACAAAGCAAGGGAGCACCGAGCCGCGAAATTGACCATTCAATCCCCGACGAAAGCGGGAAACGACTGGACAGTCACACAGTTGTGATCGGGACCAATGAAACTCGACAACACCAAGGTAATGGCGGACGCATACCACCCAAGGCAGATGCAGCAGTTTTACAGCGTAAGACAACCAGTATTCTCTTCATCACCAGCGTTGTGTTTCTCCTGACCTGGCTACCCTACTGGATCCGTGTTGCCGGTACATTTGCTTCATACTCTGACCCAGTGTTCCATATGATCTTCAGGCATCTCTTCGTAACGCTTTACGTCAACAACGCCGTGAACCCATTGATCTACGGACTTGCCAACAGACGGTTCAGGAAAGACTGCAAGGCATTTCTCAATAAGAGTAAGCTTTGTTAGAATGACACTATAGTTAACGCGGTTCGTTGTCTTTACGCACTTGATCTCTTGATTGTAATTGTATGCATATGACAAAAATTTTGGGAAAAATATAAAATGAACATCACTGATGGACCTTGAACAGAAGAAGTGTCGTATAGACTTGTTACTTTATCGGGACCTGGGAATCTAGGGCTTCTTAGGGTACCGGGTTGGGGGGGGGCAGCACCTTGTTCCCATCCTAATTTCCATATTCGGCAGCGAATTTTCCTAAAAATTGGCAGGAATGTTGGTTGGCTGATAATCCAAAAAAGAACAACAAGAGGGTGTTTTACCGTATTTTTCCAATTTTTTTTTCGTCGAAAACAGTACATTTCGCGTAAATTCTACATCTATTTTATCCAATAGCTTTCGAATTTGATACAAATTTTCTTCGGGTTAAAACTCATCCAATTGAACAACGTATGACATCCAAAATCAGTTATATAAGGCGCCAGACACATTTTTGTTTGGCAAATCACATTATATTTATTTTGTTCCTAAAACTATTGACGTGTTTTGTATTTTTAAATTATACCAAAACAAAGAAATATTGTGAGAAAAGGTGAATTGCGTTTTTTTTCTCGCCAATGACGGCCATAAAGGTTTCCCAGCATGCATTGTAGTTGGTCAAGTGACCATGAACTTTAGTCTTAAGTTGATACTTGATAGTGTCGGGAAAATAAAGCCTGGTTATGACTCACAAAAATTCATTTCTCCATGTTTTCGTACATGCTGACTCCTAATAAAAGTTAGGAAAAGTTACAACATTTCAATGTTTTGTAAACGTTCTATGTAGTCCAGCGGATATGTGACAAAATATCGATGAATTGTGCACTATTGCATGAAAGCGTGAAACTTGGCACAGATGTTTATATTCATGCGAGAAAATGTTTTAGATGTAGAGCCATCGCAAATTTACCCTTTTAGGGGCGTGGCATCCATTTAAAAAAAGGGGAGCGGGACTTGTCGTGCCCGCAGTGAAAATATTTTTTCCCACTTGTTACAAAAGCAGGAAACTTCACAAAGACATAATTATATAGATTATTAGTGTTTTCCAGATTCGGAGCCACCACAAAAGTACCTTTGGGGGGGCGTGGCAGCCATTAAAAGAAAAAAAAGGGGGGTAATTATTATGCCCACTTTGGAAAACATTGTGCCCATATTTCATGAACGAATAAAACGTCCCACAGACGTTTATATTCATGAGAAAAAAAAATCCAGATGTGGAGCCATCTCGAACACACCCTTTTAGGGGCGTGGCAACCATATAAGAAAAAATGGGGCGGGGTTTTCATTACACCCACCCTGGAAATATAGTTCCCACATTCATAGAGAAATGGAACTTTCCACAGACATTGACATTCATGAGAAAAACAATTCCAGATGTGGAGCCATCGCGAACGCACCCTTTTAGGGGCGTGGCAGCTATATTGAAAAAAAGGGGGCCGGGGTTCTCATTATGCCCAACATGGAAAAAATGTGCCCACATCTCATAAACGAATGAAGCTAATTCCCACAGACATTAATATTCACGAGAAAAAAAAGTCACACGGGAAGCCATCGTAAACACACCCTTTTAGGGGCGTGGCAGCCATAGTAAAATGGGGGGGGGGTAGTCATGATGCCCCTATAAAAGAAAGTCATGCCTACCTATCATTAATGGATTAAACTCCACACGGACAATTCTATCATGAAAATCTTTCCTTTTTTTAAAATTTGAAGCCATCACAAACTTATCCTTTTAGATGCATGGCATCTATTTAAAAAAAAATGGGGGGGGGGTGATGCTAATCATTTTCCCACCATCGAACTTTCATAAATGACTAAACTTCACACAAACTTGGTGCAAGATAATAAATTCATATGTAGAGCCACAGCAAACTCATCCTTTTAGAGGTGTGAGGGGCCTACTAACTGTGCCCACAATTACAATTTTTATATTTTGTTGTTGATTTCTTATAATGTTGATTGGCCCATAACCTATATTATTTGGTAATACAATGACTTTATTAATACACCAAAGAGCATGGGTAAGTACCGGTAGGCTAACCCCAGTTATGGGGTTCAATGTGTGTACTTGCACCTATATTATCATGCACATCTAAATTCCAGAGTGATTTCATAATTACAAATACACAGCACACAACGGCAGCCCTAAACTCTAACATTTAACATTTAAGAGCCATGGAAATCCTTTTTTACGGGGGCGGGGGAGTGTAAAATCCCCCTACCCCCTTCCCGTTGCGCCGCATTGACAGCAGATTGGGTAACAACACGATGTACTCGCCTCACAAAGTGGTGGTCACGTCCACTATGACTTCACATTCAATGAATCTGTGTACCCCCACCACACAACCCCTCTGTTCTCTTAAAAATGGTATATCAAGCTCTGATGAGTGTTTTTTTTTTACCCCGACCAAATCCATTAAAAATGTTTATACTTTATACAGGTGCGACACTGCATATGCCTTTTGATCTGTCAGACAAAAAATACAGGGGAAACAATGTATTTGAAGAAGTAACACTAGTCTTTCCAGGAATAACTGAGGTACCCCAGTTTATACCCCAATTCAGATATTGCTGCAGTTGAAAGGTTAACAATAATTCTACAGACGACAGAACCAGTAACTGGGTTAATATAGATGAGGCAAGAATGCATAGTGTAAGAAAACAAAGGGTTTGCCAACAGTAACTTCCAACTATAAAGGCGGCCCTACTCCAACACATTAAACAGCTATCTGAGGTGGATTTTAGTATATGAAACGCGGTCAAAATTTTCCACGTTGTGCATATTAAGTACCCCTCCCCATTTTAAAAATGGATGCCGCGCCTCTAAAAGGGTAGGTTTGTGATGGCTTCACATAAAAAAAAGATTTTTATGAATATATTGTCCGAGTGGAATTTAATCCATTTATGAAAGGTAGGCACAACTTTCTTTTATAGGGGCATCATGACTACCCCCCCGATTTTATTATGGCTGCCACGCCCCTAAAAGGGTGTGTTTACGATGGCTCCACGTGTAATTTTTTTCTCGTAAGTATTAATGTCTGTGGGAATTAGCTTCATTCGTTTATGAGATGTGGGCACATTTTTCCATGTTGGGCATAATGAGAACCCCGCCCCCTTTTTTCAATATAACTGCCACGCCCCTAAAAGGGTGTGTTCGCGATGGCTCCACATCTGGAATTGTTTTTCTCATGAATGTCAATGTCTGTGGAAAGTTCCATTTCTCTATGAATGTGGGAACAATATTTCCAGGGTGGGCATAATGAAATCCCAGCCCCCCTTTTTTTCTTATATGGTTGCCACGCCGCTAAAAGGGTGTGTTCGAGATGGCTCCACATCTGGATTTTTTTTTTCTCATGAATGTCAATGTTTGTGGAAAGTTCCAGTTTTCTATGAGTGTGGGAACAATATTTCCAGGGTGGGCGTAAGAAAACCACGCCCCCTTTTTTTCTGATATGGTTGCCACGCCCCTAAAAGGGTGTGTTCGCGATGGCGCCACATCTGGATTTTTTTTTCTCATGAATATAAACGTCTGTGGGACGTTTTATTCGTTCATGAAATATGGGCACAATGTTTTCCAAAGTGGGCATAATAATTAAACCCCCCCTTTTCTTTTAATGGCTGCCACGCCCTCCAAAAGGTACTATTGTGGTGGCTCCGAATCTGGAAAAAACTAATAATCTATATAATTATGACTTTGTGAAGTTTCCTGCTTTTGTAAAAAGTGGGAAAAACCGTTTTCACTGCGAGCACGACAAGTTCCGCCCCCTTTTTTTAATGGATGCCACGCCCCTAAAAGGGTAAATTTGCGATGGCTCCAATCTGAAACATTTTCTCGCATGAATATAAACATCTGCGCCAAGTTTCACGCTTTCATGCACAAGTGCACAATTTTTTCACATATCCGCTGGACTAATGGGGATTGTGGGGAAGGAAAGTGAAGGGAAGTTGAGGGCTATCAAATAGGATCACGGGATGCATTGTGTAGAGATTATGTAAGAATTTGTTTATCATTTACAATAACATCTTTATTCGCCAAAATTCATGGCGCAAGATAAAACAAACACACTAATATAAAAAGAAATACATACAAAGATTACATAGGGGAAACAAATTGAGTCAATTGACACAGATGTCTTTAATTATTTCGTTGTCATTTAAAATTTCACATTGAACAACGCCGTCTCCAACATCAATCATGTCCCTAAGTATAGAAACATTTGATTTCACACTTAGCGGTACACAATCAAAACCACGTATTTCGGGAGTCCTTCAGTTCAATAAAATTGTTACCGAAAACCGAACAAGGAATGCATAAAGCCTCATTGGCTACAGACTTCAACATAGAGGTTCCAGATTAAAAAAAACATTGCATTGTTATACACGTGTGGCGTGCCCTGTTGTTTAATGGAACCGGCGAAGTACAAAAGGTCGCTTTTAAATCATCTCGTTTACCGATGGGCATTTTCAAAATAAACAAACAATGACAGTATTTCAGTGTTTGGTGTTATGTTTGAGCACGTTCTGTGGGTATTTTTTTTGAAATTGTAACACTGGTGTTTGCAATATCTGTCAATCTTTTCAAGCCTCACGAATATTAAGGTTCCTATCCATTATGGTGTGCAGTAAAAATTTGCATAAAAACCTCCTTCACGAGTTATTAATTGATAATATCACCCTTTTTGCTGGCTTCCATTGGTCGATACCGAGACCCACGTCAAGTCATGTCGTCTCGTCAAAATTTTCCTTGGAGATAGTTAAGGCTGTAACACTAGCGTTTGCAAAAACAGATTAAGCTGAAATTCAGAATACACTTAGATGATATAAGTGTTCAACTACTCGTAAAATAACAACTTACGTGCATTCCTAGAAATTGAGATAAATACATAGATTTGGGGAAGATTCCGAACGATTCCAGACTTGAAGGTCAGCTATACCAGTAACCAGTATTGACGTTTCGGCATCGATGACGGCGATTTTTCACTGACACAAAGTACAGAATTTCTTCTTCCCTAATAATTTAACATTTAAATCATACTGAGCATATTTTCTGAAAAACACAACGTTCAAAAGGCCATGCTTTTTTCGGATTCACGAATTTCACTGCTCTGTTTCAGCGTCTAAGTATGTAATCGGATTAGCTTTGCTTGACAAACGGCACACTTTGGCGTTTGCAACCACACGGCTGGTAGGATGCTGAAGTGGCCTGTGTGTGCTCAGAAGGATGGTGAACACAAAGCAGAGTGCCAAGGGTATAGGGGACCCATAGGTCAGAAAGGCAAGAAACGGATGAAATCGTTTAATATATAACTACTCATCCACTCATTTCTTGCTCTTCTATTGCTCATTTTACGCATTTCGCATCCGATAATCCTCTTATCTAATGACAGCCCTCCACATCCTTCCACATTCTCTCCACATTCCCTCCACCACAATCCCCATAGAACGTGTAAAAAAGAGGCGGGGCATTATACCTATACTGACCCGATGTATTACTTGCTTATGCTATTTTTTTTACCGAGTCACTGTTAGCGATAGTACATTTCGTTTTGTGATTATGATTATGAAAATTTATCCAGAATAGATTTGAGTTGTAGGTTTTTACAGAAAATTTCAGTTCGGTGATATTTTAATGCAATATTTACCAAAGTGTATCGATTAGAAAGTGTCGTTTCAAACATAAAACAGTAACAGGGCACACCAGCGTATTGATTTCTTGCTCGAGTTATTTATTTGCACCTTATGTCAGATGTCAGTTAATTGCCACTCTGAATAAATCTCATTGATATAACCTTTGAAGATAAATTTGACGCCAACAAACCGATGTTCTAGTTACAATGGTGAACTTGCGTTACCTTGACGTCGTAAAAACCTTACACAATCGTTCTTGTTCAGCCGCCTCGTAGCAAAAGAGGGGGGAAATAACAAAGGAAAAGAAACATTCACAATCTTCAAACTGGGTCCTGAATTTTATTATGATCCTTCCCGACGTCTCCAGATTCAATTTACAGAGATGAGAAAGACATCAGAAGAGCGAATGTGCCCCCAAAACAGTTCCTGCACAGATCCAGATTAAATTATCTCACAAGGACCTGCCCTGCGTTTGGTTTGGCACGAAGCTGAATAATTTCCTTCAGTCAGACCAGCTCACGCAGGAAAGGTTCATTTCTATAAGCGCCCGAATTGTCTTCGTCTATTGGCAAGTTTCAAGATAAACACACAATGCCTAAAAAAAGCAAAAAAAAGATATTTAGAGAATGCCCCCAGTTCTCGGGAGATGCATGTCTATACCAAAAAAACGATCACGAAGCCGCTACAAACATGTATCGCTGATAATAAACGAATTTGCACGCGCATGACCACGATTGGCCAACCTCCCTTTACGCACAAAAAAAATCTTAAATTTGATTGATCACACGTACTATAGGCAATGATTACGTATAATAGGAAACGCTGCGGACATAGCTGCCACGGTGCTTTCTTCTGGCACACCAATACAGACAGACATATTGCAGTCGTAACATTCGCTCTCCTTCTAAGCTAAATAACAAGGAGAATTTTAATACAAGTTGGGCGAGAAAAACTCCAGCCATGGTGAACAATCCGATGCCAAATTCCACCTCTTGTTTTGAAAACACTGAGTCGGATTCAGGGCTGTCTAACACGGTTGGAGACCTATTCCAGCTGATTGTGCAGAGCGTCATTTTCTTATTCGGCGTGCCCGGTAACTGCCTCATACTCCGCGTCTACTGGACAAAGACTCTAACAACCAGCACCCATGTTTTCATCATGGGCTTAGCCTGGGCCGATCTGGCCGTCAGCTTGCTGGCTGTGAATCGTATTTATTATAAGGTTGCTTCCATGGCTGGTCATGAGGTCCCAGAGTTCACATTTATTATCTTGGCTCTTCAGTCAACAGCCATCAGTACATCGATTATGATGACTGCTGTGATCGCAGCGGACCGCTACGACTGCATATGCCGGCCACAACGCCGGTTCTTCACCCACAAACGCGGCAAGATAGCAGCGTGGGCAGCATTCGTATTCTCACTGGTCGTAAGTATTCCTGCCTACATACCCAGAACCCCAGGATCCAGCGACCAGCCATTGGACCTTTTGGCGTTGGCATTTGAGGTTATGTGCTTTGTCATAGCGCTCGTGATGATCGCCCTGTGTTACGGTAAAATCTACACAACTATCAAGAAACACACCAAAGTCGGCGTCAAAAGTACCACTCGAGATTGCAGAGTCTCTCGAATAGTCAACAATTGCTCGACAAGACTACATGATTCCGTATTCACAAATGACGAACCGAACATTCTTAACGTCGCTTCCGTGTTGACGTTCATCAGTAAACCATGCTCGAGCAATGCAATTGATGGCAGCAGAATAGCACAAAACAATGGAGCACCGAACCACGAAACCAACGTATCGACCCTTGGCGAAAGTGGGAAAAGACGGGCCAGTCACCCACAATCGACTTTGACGAAACATGTCCTTGTGTCGAAGGATACAGAAAATCGTGTTGTGGACGGGACCAATGACACGCGACAACACCAAGGCAATGCAGGACGCGCACCACCAAAGGCAGATGCAGCAGGTTTACAGCGTAAGACAACCAGGATGCTCTTCATCACCAGCGTTGTGTTTCTCCTGACCTGGCTACCCTACTGGATCCTTGCTGTTGGTAAGTTTGCTTCCTACTCCGACCCAGTGTTCCATATGATCCTCGAGCAGCTCTCCATTACCGCTTACGTCAACAACGCCGTGAATCCGCTGATTTACGGACTTGCCAACAGACGGTTCAGGAAAGACTGCAAGACAATTTTCAGTAAATTTAAGTTCTGTAAGAATGACACTAATTAACGGGATTTGTTGTCTTCATGCAGTTGATGTGTTAATAATGTAAGTGTGCCTAAGAAAAAAGCATGTTTGACAAAAACAAAATCAAAATAAGTGACAGTCAATGAGGAAAAGAGGTGTTGTAGACTTCCAGCCCTATTAGGACCGGGATATTTGGGTCTTCTCACGACCGGTGGGGGTGGGGGGGGGGCACACGTTGATCCCGTACTATCCATATGTAGCTGTTGATTTCCCTAAACTTGGCAGGAATGTTGGTTGGTTATCATAACATGACGTCATTTGTGTGCGCTGCGGTAACGACTAAAGGGCGTTTGACTTTGTATTTGCCTTTTATTGTTTACTTACTTGTATTTGCAATTTATTAATTTCAATTCGAATGAAGATATATTCACCGGGTCTCGGCAGTCTATTAAAATTGATGTCGGTTCTTCGATTCATCCATTTCTGAATATCTTTGAATGTCATAGCTCACGTGTCGGTGTGCCTATCTCGTGAAGGCGTTCACGATCAGGTCTCGTGTGCATTGCTCTATTCCCATAGCCTGATGACTATCGGAAATAGTCTCACTGTGAACGTATCACCTTATCTCAGAGTATTTTGCTGTCTCGTCTTAGCAACTGAAATTTCCCAGACCCGGCACAATCTCAACTTGCTTCGAAACGAAAGACTCGCGCAGTTCTTCCTGCTTAACTTGGAGAGTTGTCTGTATATAAATAGCGAACAATTTGCGGCATAAGTGTGCCTTTTCCTGTTTTTTTTGTATCCGATTCACTGTTTCTGATAGTCATTTCTGAGAAGAATTATGCTTTTGAAGATTAACGGAAAGATGAAGATCGAGATTAAATTTAAGTTGTAGATTTTATGGATATGGTAATTTGAGTTTGGTGATAGAAAGTCAAAAGACCTTTTATTTTGATGCACTCTTTGTCAAACTGTATTGATTAGAAATTGTCGTTTCAATCTTGAAACAATAACAAGGCAGAACACCGTGCAGATTTCTCGTTCATGTTATTATTTGCACCTTTTGTATGTTGCTACTTTGCAGTACTTTCTTGAAATCATTTTCTAAAGATAAAGTTGACGGCAACACACCCTCGGTCTACTGACAATGGAAAGGTCGCCCATCTTTGCCGTCGTAAACACATTAGGCTACACAATCGTTCTTGTTCGCAATCTTCTATCTTGGTTTTCCTTTTTAACGATTCTTCACAGGGTCTCAGATTTAACAAGCAGAGATTTGAGAAAACCAGGTGAGCAATGGTACCATATACCGCGATTCAATTGTGCTCAAAAAATGAGTTCCTGTAAACATCCAGATTAAATCACCTCACAGAAACTTGCCCTGCTTTTTGCTTTGGTACAGTGGTCGCTAATTTCCTCCAGTCAGACCAGCTCATGAAAAAAGGTTAATTTCTATAAGCACCTGACTTGTCTTCGTCTATCGGCAAGTTTCTAGATAAACACGCAATGCTTCAAAAAGCCAAGTTTGTAAAAGGATGTTGAGAGAATTCCCCAGTTCTCAGGAGATGCATGTTAAAAAAAGGGTAAACGGTTACAAAACCGCTTAATACAATGGATCACTTATGGTATTAACGAATTCGGCAAGCGCATGACCATGTTTGGCCAACCAACATATAATAGATAATGCCGCCAAGAAAGTTGCCAGAATGTTTTCTTGTGGCTCACCAGTCAAGACAGGCACATTACAGTCGTAACAGCCACTGTCTTCTTAGACAACTTAACAAAGAGAATTTTAACACAAGTTTTACAAGAGATATTCCAGCCATGCAGAACACCCCGGTGTCGAATTCCACGTCTATTTTTGAAAACACACGGACGGATTCAGGCCTGTCTGACACCTTTGGAAACCTATTCCAGCTGATTGTGCAGAGCGTCACTTTCTTATTCGGTGTGCCCGGTAACTGCCTCAACCTCAGAGTCTATTGGACAAAGACTCTAAAAACCAGCACCCATGTTTTCATCATGGCCTTAGCCTGGGCAGATCTGTTATTCTCGATTCCACCACTGACCGGAGAAAAGGCAACATTTTCGACGATGAAATTTGAAATACTTTTCACAAAAATCTGCAACCGTCCTGGTGCCTTCTGTAATGTTTTCTCCCCAGTGATTCATCGTGGCATGGACAGCGCCAAGATTGGTGGGATTCGAGGTGACATTACTAGCACACTCCCGTAAAAAGTGGTCCGGCAGCCATTCTACACAAAAAACTCCAAGCACCGTGGGGTTTTGTGCACAAAGCCTTTCAGTTAGCAGCTTGGGCAGCATTCGTTTTCTCACTGGTCTTCAATATTCCTGCCTTCGTACCCAGAGCCCCTGGATCCAGCAACCATTCCTTGGACCTTTGGGAGTTGCCATTCGAGGTTATTTACTTCGTCGCGGCGCTCGTGATGATCGCCCTGCGTTATGGCAAAGTCTACACAACTATCAAGAAACACAAAAGTCGGCGTCACAAGTACCACTCGAGATTGCAGCCGCGTCTCTCGATTAGGGGACAAATGCTCGACACGGCTTTAGGATTCCGTATTCGTAAATGTCGAGCCGAACATTTCTACTGTCGCTTCCGTGTCAACGTTCATCAGTAAACCATGCTCGAGCACGGTAGCTGATGCCAGTAGAATGGCACAAAGCAAGGGAGCACCGAACGACGAAATCGACGAATTCGCCCTTGTCGATAGCGGACAAAGATGGGCCAGTCAACCAAAGCGACTTGACTAAACTTGTTCTTGTGTCAGAGGTAGCACGGTAGCTGATGCTGGTAGAATGTTGCAAAGCAAGAAAGCACCAAGCCACAAAATCGACGAATTAAGCCTTGACGAAAGTGGGAAAAGATGGGCCAGTCAACCACAAGCGACTTTGATTAACAATGTACTTGCGTCAAAGGATACACAATCTCGTGTTGAGAAGAATGACAGTGACCCTCGCCAACATCAAGGTAATGTAGGACGCACACCACCAAAGGCAGATGCAGCAGTTTAACAGCGTAAGACAACCAGAATACTCTTCATCATCAGCGTTCGGTTTCTCCTGACCTGGCTACCGTACTGGATTGCTATTGCCGCTGGGTTTGCTTCCTACGCCGACCCAATGTTCAATATAATCATCGGGCAGCTCTCCGTAACTCTTTACGTCAACAATGCAGTCAATCCGCTGATTTACGGACTTTCCAATAGGGCGGTTTAGGAAAGACTGCAAGACAGTTCTTAGTAAGATTAGGCTCTGTTAGAATGACACTAGTTATGTTGTGTTGTCATCAGCATGATATCTTATTTGTAAGAGAGCCTTTTAAATGATTTTCATTCAAAGCTTAAACAAATGAAGGTACTGTTAGAACTTGTTATATTATAAATTACGGAAGTCAGTCCTCATATGGAAGTTTCGTTAGTGAACTCATTAATAGTCTTTCTGCGGACAGTTTTGTTCCTATAATATTAAGGCCAAGTCGAAATGACTCTAACCTATTTTTTTCCCGCACTGATCGATAATATTTTCACGAGTAGAGTAGATAGAAAAGTGGCACCCTTTATTATGTAGTAACATGCAGGGGCGTGCACTGGGGTTGTCCGGTATGTGCTCGAACAGGTGGGGTGGGAGACAATCCCTGAATCCAGGAGACGCATGAACTGATTTCCAGACTTCACCGTGAGATTTATTTTCCTCCAAATGACACAGCAGTGAGGACAACAATTAAAGACAAATATAAAAAAAACCTGCAAAGACAGAGGAAAACATGTTCCACTGATTACAAAGTGCTCCAGTTATTATAAGATAATTACAATCAATGGTAATTAATACAATCATAAAATACAAGGAGTGATAATTATGATTTCCAATAGTTTCTGCTTACCCAGCAGGCTTCGTAATGACGAACTACGGTGATGTATAGCCTGTAGGCCTACTTCCAAATGAATGACACAATCTGTCAAAACAATATAAATCTTGCAGTAGTACAACAGAACAACACACAGTGTACTTAAATATATAAACAATCCCCAACTTAATATTCAGTTTAACGGATTATTTAATTCGTTATTACGGATTATTAATTCGTTATTACGGATTATTTAATTCGTTATTACGGATTATTAATTCGTTATTACGGATTATTAATTCGTTATTTCGGATTATTAATTCGTTATTACGGATTATTTAATTCGTTATTACGAATTAAGTCTGATGTTCTCACACGTGGAGAGCACGTGACCAGGGGCGCTATCTTTGCATACAACGTTTGCTTTACACCGGCACCGAATGAAACGCTCGCACTCCTTGCCGAGTAATGACTCAGAACGTATGAATAATTCGTAATAACGAATTAATAATCCGTAATAACGAATTAAATAATCCGTAATAACGAATTAATAATCCGTTATAACGAATAAGTAATCCGTAATAACGAATTAATAATCCGTAATAACGAATTAAATAATCCGTTATAACGAATTAATAGTCCGTAATAACGAATTAAATAATCCGTAATAACGAATTAATAATCCGTTATAACGAATTAGTAATCCGTAATAACGAATTAATAATCCGTAATAACGAATTAAATAATCCTCAACAAATATACTTACAGTGGCGCTAATGGGCTTTCGTAATAATGCATCTCCAGATGTACACATTAAACTTTGCGAGAAAGTGGGCTCGGTGAGCACGCAAAACACTGCCGTTCATAAAAATATAAGGCAGCATAATGTCAGGAAAGTTCCACTCACCAATCAGCAAGTGTCAAACTATGCTCTCGATAAGGAATGTCCACCAGACAAAGATTATTTTGGATCAAAGAAGAGGCTTTTTGGTGTACTTCTACGGAGCTTGACTGGCCGGTTTGCCTTGAAAGCAGAAAAAGGAATGACAACGTGTGCCCTATAACAGTGTCTACATAGTAAATGGAACTAAATGACAGATCCCATCCAAAATCTGTAACCACAACTCACTACTAATTAGAACGTAATCAAATAATTAAGTTAAACAAGTTTCTT